CAGTAAATAAATTAAAATAATGCTCTCCTGTAATTATGTAAATATATACATAAAACAAATAATATTTCGATATGTGAATTTTCAAATATGTATGGCAAAACTGAAAATGGAGTTTTGAAACTGCCGTGTAAAAATTTTTTTTGATCATAGCTGAGAACAGGTTCACGATATCTTTTAGGGAAAAAGACTTATATTCGAGAAAAATATAGATATATTTTATGTAATAAAATAGTATTTTAGAATATTTTCTAAAATAAGTTAAATTTTTTCCACATTTCCTAGTCAAGTGCTCTGAGGAATTTTTAATAACTTTTACATTTTTCAACAAATTTTTGTTTTTTATACCTTTTTGAAATACTAAATCTATGAATATTATGATTCTTTAACAATAATATGTAAAATATTTACCCAATAGCAACATTTATCACATAATATAAAAATATACGAAGTATGCTCCTACCGACCTACGCGACCAGGTCACGTTTTAGGAGGCAAAATCTGTTGTAACTCTACTTTATTTAAAGTTAGCTTTTTGGTCAAAAATTTGGATTTTTTCAGACTTTGATCGACGAGCGGCATGTGTTAACGTCTTTATGACTATCTCAATATCTGAAAAGGGGAATCATTTTGTGGGGTTAAGACGAACAAGATTGCAACATGGACTTTTTGCGGTCACTCTAGTGCACCCTAAACGTACACCCATCTGCTTTTTTTAGGAGTAGATGCAGATGAATGCAAAATTTCTTTTGTATTTCTAATAGTGTGTAAAAGAACACCTGTTTCACCTGTTTTCCCTTTTTTATCCCCCAAATATTTGAATTTCCATAAATCTCTTTTTTCTGCAATTTAAAGAAACAAAAAAACGAATCTCTACAAAAAACCTATTGTTGAAATTAACATTTAGTTACAAACAGAGCACTTTTATGTTAAAAACCATAACATTTTACACAAAATGTTTAAAGGATACAAATTATTGTGACCCTTTCGATGTACATCACCGTGTTCTTTGGAAATCGGTTAAAAAATATTTATTAAAATTAGTTTTCGAAATTTTGTAAAAAACATTATTTGGAAGAAATACCCCAAATATCAAGCCAGTACGACATATAGATCTCGAGATATATCACTTCGAATATGGAAAACATGTGCGTGTTTGTGGGTTATAACGGTTAAGCCATTTATAAGCGTTAAAGTCATCTTCTGGAGAGGACCTTATAGGGGCGGGTATGGTCAATAATGGCATTATCCTCCTAAAATTATGTACAGAGGTTAATATTTATATAAAACTTATTTATGTCAAATTTCATTGCTGTGCTGATATTTTAAGCTAGTTATGAATCGTCTTAGAATTTAATATATATAATTTAATTTATTATATGCATATATTATTAATTTTATTCTGAAATGAAATCTAAAAATTGTAATATTAACGTTTACAAATTTGTAAATAAAATCCCAGAAAATTTTTAAACGATTATATTTTGAGGAAAAAACTCAAATCTAGGTATTATTGGATAAATGCATGAATATTTTTTGACAATATTCCAATTGTCCAGCACTATTTTTAGGCAATTTCGAAGTGCCCGTCTGTCAACCAAATGATGGACAAAATCATTTGATTTGGCTTTATCAAAAATTACAAGGAAAATAAGTAAAAATAAGAAAATGTGTCATAGTGATGTATATTTTGTCGCAAAATATCCGTTATTCGGATACTTTTAATAATAATTAGAAATTATATGTTATATTTATACATCTAAACTAAATAGACATTTATTAAAGCCATATATATATTTATTTTTCTTAAAAGTTTGTTTTTATTGTCAAAAATCTATTATAAACAAAAATATGAAATCAAGAAAACCGAATCAACGAATATTTTATCCTAATTGTACGCAACACTAACACATAAAATGACAGCCATATTGTACAGTGCTGCCAACTTAAACATAAATCAGCACAATAGTTAATATACGTTTATTATTTGTTTATGAATATCACAATTTTATTAATGGTTTTTAAGGCTAAAGTGTGCATTAACTATTGAGTGCATAAAGAGCAAAATAAGATTTTTTTATAAATACAAGCGTAAAAGTTTATATTTTGGTGAAAAAACTAAAATCTAGGCATTATTGGATTAATAGATGAATATTTGACAGTATTCCAGTTGGTCAATACTATTTTTGGCAATTTGGAAATGCCGGCCTGTCAATCAAATCATGGCCACAATCATTTTATTTGTCGTTTTCATAGTTTATTCGCTAAATATAAAGCCATGAAGTAATTAAGAGTGTAAATTATATTAATTAGTGTTCTATCAATGCAAAATATCTTCTCCGGCAATAAAATGTAGTCTTTTATCAAAGAAATTTATCAGTATTTGCAAAAATTTATTAAAAATTGCTATAAAAATAAGTAAAAATAACAAAATGTGCATAGTGATGTTTATTTTGTCACAAAATATTCGTTATTCGAATACTTTTAATTATAATTAAAAATATATATGTTATATTCTTTCATCTGAACTAAATATATATTTATTGTAGCCATGTATACATTTTTTTTTCTTAAAAGTTCGTTCTTATTTTCAAAAATGTGTTATAACCAAAAATATAAAATTAAGAAAACCGACTCAACGAATATTTTATCCTAATTGTTCGCAACACTAACACAGAAAATGACAGCCAAATTGTACAGTGCTGCCAAGTTAAACAATAAACAGCACAATAGTTAATGTAGGTTTATTATTTGTTTATGAATACCACAATTTTATTAATGGCTTTTAAGTCTAAAGTGTACTTTAACTATTGTGTGATTTAAATCTAAAATAAGCATTTTTTATGAATACAACTGTTAAAATTTAATAATTATTTTTCAAGCAAACATTTTTTCCCTCAAAAATAAAACATAATGTTAAGTTTCATTTTTTTGTTTCTTGATCTTTTTTTTTCGTTCAAAAAATAATTTTTATTTTTTAGTTTTTTTTTTTTTTGAAAAATAAAAACCATTTTTAAGTTTTATATTTTTGCTTGAAAAATAAAAGTTATTCTTGAGTTTTATATTATTTTCTTCAAAAATAAAACTTAATATGAAAATATATTCTTACAAATAAATAAATAAATTTTGATTAAAATATTATTATAACATTAGAAAGAAGTTATATTCAGGCAAGCCGAATCTTATATGTAATATCACCATCTAAACGTATCTAATAAACTTAATGTGAGTTTGGAAGGAGGTCTTAAGATTATTGTGTATCGATCTATTCGGAATTCTTTGTTACTATTAACTCACTTATTGGATTAACACAGTACCTACGCGATTTTCGAAAGAGTATCTTTTATGGGACTTAGGTTATTTATGTACCGAACTCTGCGTTAAACTAACTTTTTCAACTTTTCAAATGAGACCTAATTTTCGCCACATTTTACATGTGATTTCGGACTACTTATACTCTTGGGTATTATTTGATCATAATTGCTATATAATAAACATATTTATAAGTTTTTAAACTTTATTCTGGAAGGACTTTTCAGAATAAATTTCAGCATCCCGTTTGCACTATACAGTGCATCCAACAGACAGACGTTCGTATTTGACTACATCGTCTTAGAATATTATAAGGACCCAGAATATATATATGTATGAACTTATGTGAGTCTACGACTTAGCAATTTTTGCAAATATCAAAAATACCATAGCAAGAGCTTGTAGGGCGTGAACATATGTTAAGGAATATGATATTATTTTTTCGTGATCGTGAAAAAAGTTCACGCACCAAAGGCGATGAAGTTTTGTATCAATTTTACTTTTTCTATATGAGAAAAATAAATAATTTTTCCAAAATTTTTGCATTTGTATTACATTATCTTAAAGAGAAGATTGTTCTTTAAATTCTTGTTATGGAAATTTTAACAAATCGCGATAATATTGCATGTTATAGAAAATAGTATACTTTTATACGAAATTGTTAAAATATTTTTTAAAAATATCGAACAAATGTATTTTATAAATTGCTTTCGGTGCGGGAAGTTTTTTGACCGAATTGACTTAAAAAATAGCCTTATATTATCAGGGCAGTATTAACTATAAGGCAGTGCTATGATATTTTGCCGCCCAAAAAAAGTCATAACCCTAATGTACATATTCCATAGCTATGCGTTTTAGATGGTGAAGAGATAAAATATATACTTTCCCTTTTTTTTGAAAATTTTATAAAAAGTCATTTCTCTAAACATTTTATAAAAGAAAATGTTTTCATATTGAGTTTTATTTAAAAAAAATAAAATAAAACTCAAGAATAATTTTTATTTTTCAAGTAAAAAAATAAAACTTAAAATTGATTTTTATTTTTCAATGAAAAATATAAAAATCAAAAATAATCGTTATGATTTGAACAAAAAAAAAAAAAAAAATAAAACTTAAGAAAAATTATTATTATCTGAGTAATATATAAAACTAAAAGAATTAAAATTAAGTTTTTTAAATAAAACTTAAAAAATAAATATCATGTTTTAACCGATAATGCATCATTAGAGAAAACAAATGGTATATCAATTAACTTTTACTCTTAATGCTTGCATTTGATTTTTTTGTTTTAAATTTTACGAATAATCATTATTTTCTGTCCCTGATTTATAATTTGAATGGAAAGTAACTAAATTTAAATATTTTTTTTTAAATCTACATACTAAAAAATAAAACTTAAGAAAAATTATTATTATCTGAGTAATATATAAAACTAAAAGAATTAAAATTACGTTTTTTAAATAAAACTTAAAAAATAAATATCATGTTTTAACCGATAATGCATCATTAGAGAAAACAAATGGTATATCAATTAACTTTTACTCTTAATCCTTGCATTTGATTTTTTTGTTTTAAATTTTACGAATAATCATTATTTTCTGTCCCTGATTTATAATTTGAATGGAAAGTAACTAAATTTAAATATTTTTTTTTAAATCTACATACTAAATCGTAATTTGTTTTTATGTGTACTTTTAGGCTATTTACGATATGCTTGGAGCATGCTCTTCAAATAGGCCTGCTGATTCTGCTGAGGAACGAGCGAAAAATATATTCTCTAAAATGGATGAGAATAACGATGGTCAATTAACACAGGAAGAATTTTTAAAAGGCTGTCTTCAAGATGAAGAATTGTCGAAAATGTTGGCGCCCTAAACACTTATTCTCATTTATGTAAACAATATTTTTAAAATTAAACTTCTTAATAATAAGCTATGCACAATAAACATAACTATTTAAAACAAAAATGTTTGCAAATTCAGGTGCTTTTCAGATAATTTTATAAGAATTAATAGTTATTAATTAATTTCTCTCTAAAGAGAAATCAATTCAAGCGAAATAAACAATCTGTTATTTACAATTATTATTAAATACAATATTCATATTCATATTGATTTAATACGATCCCATCTTTTTTGATTGAGATTATAAAAATCGCCCGTTATTGGTTTTTATTATTGCCGCACAAGATCGCAATAAATATTGATGTATTTTCGCCATTTTTTTTTTTTTGACTCATGCTTGTCGTTCCAACGGTCACACATTGCCACATTGCATTTGATTGGGTACAACAATCACAATATTGGTGTTAATTTCCGCTTGAGTTAATATATATCGCTCATTTACTACAAGACTAGTATCACCGTTGCCTTTAGTGCTTTTAAAAATTTTCGACGCGAGAAAATTTCGAGTTAGTGCCTAGTGCTTTTCCAAAATCTCTTGAATTTATCGTCTTTTCTGTGTTTGGGATAAAAACGTTTTTCAGTTTATATTTCTTTTAAGTAAAGTAATGAAAGACCGTTCGATAACTAACATAAAATTTGGGAATTAGGCGCCTTGTATGCGGGAAAGGTCAAATGCGGCCCGATCAGTGTCATTTAGGCTTATGTAAGACTAAGCTATGCAGATTTTTATAGTAACACTTATACGGGAGGTACAATTTTATGAGGGCTTGGTGAAATAATAGACGGATTTATATCATTTGCAATAAAGTTCATCAAATTATCATAAACATTGCGGTCATTGGTTTGATTACGAGATTGAGAAACATCTGCACAAACCCAATACATATGGGCAATTTAATGTCAAGTGACCCAACTCAAAAAATCGATTTTGATGAAATTGGATAGTAGGCCAGAAACAAATTTTCAGCTCTATCGGTCAAGAGTTGCCAGACTGGGTGTCAATGTTGGACATTTTAGTCATACAGGGTTTTATTCAAATGAATGTAACTTTTCTATTGGTCCAAGCGAAAATTGTCCAAAGGAGTTCATTTATTTCTTCATTGCTTCCAAAAAAAATATTTAAATTTGTTTTTTTTTAATATGCGATATGGCACTTAATTTTCCCTGTTCCGACCTATAGGAGCTGAAGTACTGAAATTCTTTAAAAATGTTCATGGATGACAAATTTTATTTGGTATTCAAAATGGTCAACATTGGTTCATGATTTTACTTAGCCCCCAAACAAATGCCCCTCGGAATACAGTCAAAATAAATATGTTATTTATGTAGCAATCGTGATAAAATTTTGCAGAAATCGGTTTTATATACATACCTTCAATTCGAGCCGAAAATCTGATAAGTGTGTGGAGTAAAAATAGCGAATAATGGAAAAAGTTATGCATGTGTAGCCGTAGGTTTTTGTGACGATCACACAAAATTAAAGTGGGAAAGTCTAAAAAATAAATTTTCTACGCTATGTAAATGTGTATGTTTTTATACCCTTCGTGAGAAAGGTATATATTAGGGTGATCGGACCGGTTTTTAATAACCGGTTATAAGAAAAGCTTTTCAGAAAAGCTCACATTTCGAATATCGAAGAAACCGGGGTTTTTTAAACACTAAAAAATATTTTCTTTTAATGTATAATATTCTTATTTGTATGTTCATCTGGCAACCTATAAACAAAAGCTGTTTTAATAAACATTCAATAAAAATGGCATTATGGCATAGATTTTTAATAAAAAGGCATTTTTACTAGATAGAATGATAGGTTCTCCACAAAATTCACTTATTATTAAACAATGGAGATTCAAAAAAGTACCCAATTTTCCTGAACAAAATACTAACATTTTTAAGATAGTTGGTAAGAGTAACTATCTTAAAAATGTATGGTCCTATTTTTTTTTGGTGAAATCGCGATTATTTATACTTCCTAAAATGAACAGTTATCATGTGCCAAAGTGAAATGGCCAGTGTGCCTAAAATATTCATAAAATTAACGTATAAAAAAAAAATTTAAAGACAAAGAGAATCCGCAGAGTCCCATAGTAAAATGATTCTTTTTTTTTTTTTGCTTAAATAAGAAATGATATATTGGACTATATATACATGTATATGATAAATAGATTTCATTCGGAGAGTCATGCTGCGTTTCAAGGAAGCATTTTTATTTGACAATGAAAAACAAATAAGTTATAAAACAAAATGGATTTGCAATTAAATACAAAAAAAAAAAAAATCGCAAATAACCAACATCAAATAGTTTTAATGAAGTGTTGCAATATTTTTTCCTTATTATATGATGTTAATTATAAAATGCAAGAAAGTGAATTTTGTGGAAAACTAGTCTCTCTATCCAGTGAAACCATTTCTTTATTAAAAATCTCTTCAATAAACAAACAAAAGTTTATCAGTGTATATTCATTATCATAATTATATCTATGATATTTCTGTTTTGTTATGTTTTTCAATGAACTGTTTTTTAAGTATATAAAACTTTTTTTCTTATTATTTCTAGGCGTTTTAATATTTTGCCAAAAAACCGGTTATTATTAAAAAACCGCAACCGGTTTATATTAAATTGCAATATTTCGAAGAAACCGAATCGATCATCCTAGTATATATAAACAAAGCTCTAAAAGAATTCATTCCCTAATTCTTTTTTTGAAATTGAGTTATATTTTAAAAAATTAACAATTCTTCAAACTCATTCCGTTTGATTTAATTCCTAGAATTAATTCTTAAAGCTTTCGATGTAGTTGAATTAATTCTCTAATGAATTAATTCCTATAGAATGTTAAATTCCTTCTGAATGAATTAATTTTGTTTGCATTCAATCTGTTACAAATTGAATTAAAATAAATTTCAACAATTCCTATTGATTTTTAAATTCCCTCTGAATGATATAAATTTTGTTTGAATTCAATCTATTACAAATTGAATTTAAAAAATTTTCAACCATTCAATTTGAAATAGATTGAATGAAAGTTTTGTTTTATAATTCAAAAGCATTCTGTATATTAAAAATTGAATTACATTTTTTTTCTTTCATTCAATTTGTAATAGAAGGAATTAAACAAATATGAATGATCATTCAATTGAATTCATTCCTATAAAGAATGAATTCTCTTAGGAATTAATTCAATGGAATATAAAGCCAAGGAATTCAGCTTTAGAATTTAAATTCAAAGAATGATTTTAAAGAATGGTACATTAAAAAATTTAAAGCCGAATTAAAAATATAAGGAATTAATTCCAAATAGAATTCATTCTTTCCATGCTTTGTATATAAATTTGTCATTCCGTTTGTAATTTCCACAATATAATTTTCCGACCCTATAAAGTATATATATTTTGGATCCTTATATATAGCGGAGTCAATTATGCCATATCCGTCTGTTGAAATAAATTTTCTGAAGACCCCAGATATCTTTGTGACCCAAATCTTCAATAATTTTCTCAGCCATGCTTTCGAGAAGTTTCCTATTAAAAAATCAAAAAAAAAAAAAAAAAAATCTGAAACTACCTCTGAAAATTTCCTCAACAAATTATAAATAAAAGCATACCGTTATTGTTGTTTTTTACTTTGATGCAGATATAAAATGTAAAATTATGTGAAAAATACCAAAACATTTTATAAAATTTAATTAAATTATAAAAAACTAAAAATAAATAAAACCTGTTTTTTAAAACATACTTGGTGAAGGGTATATAAGATTGACTTGTTTATATGTATGTATATTGATGGACATGAAAAATTATCTTTAAAAATGTAGCACTTTCATTCAATTGTTGATTTATTAGATAAAAAGAGAAAAAAATCGTTAGATACGAACCGGATGTTATACATACGTCTGAAACTATAAACTGCGTTTTTAGTTTTTCATTTCGTGATCTTGTGTCCCTTTTAAGGACTTCAAAGTTTTAAAAGGTACATTTTTTAAAAAATATTTTAAAATACTTCTACTGATCAAACAATATCAAATTTGATGTCAAGCGAAGAAGAAGAGTTGGAAAATATTTTGTATTATTTTTATTTTATACTGTCAGGATTTAAGCTTTAAATAATATTTAAAACTTAAATAGATATTAAAGGTTACGAATTTCAAGACATTTTCGACAACTTTTTATCCTGACAGTATAAAATAAAAAAAATACAAAATATTTCCCAAATCTTCTTGTTTAAAATGTCAAAAATTCCGATTGTCGCGAGAAAAATAATAAAAATATTTATTAATATATTTCTGGTCCGCAAAACGACTATTATTTTATTTTAAGGGGCATACAAATTTCAACAAATTTAAAAAAACACCCATTTCGATAAAATGCGAAGGCAATATGCCTCTCCAACTCACTAAAAGAAATTTTGTGGACCAAAAATATTCTATAAAAATTTTTAAATTATTTTTCCCATTTCGAAAAAATCTAAAATATTTTATTTTTTAAAAATTATACTGAGTTCAGGATTTTCAATCGCTGGTAGGGAACTGAGGACCATTCCCAAAAAATATATATTTTTTATTTTTCTTGCGTTCAGTACATTAATACGCATCGATTGAGTGGTATTCCTACATGAAATTCTTAAAAAGATGTTTGAATCTTGTTCGTCTGAACCCCATAAAACGATTCCCCTTTCCAGATACTAAGATAGCCGAAATTTGAACTCGATTAAACGACGTTAACACATGCCGCTCGTCGCTCAAAATTTTCGACCAAAAAGCTAACATATGAAGCTATAACTCCAGAACTGTAAATAATAAAAAAACAAGGTTAGTATCTCAAAACAAAGCTAATACTGTTCTTCAAAATTTATATTATAAACAAAATTCTGGTTCTTGGCCAACAATTAATATTTCGATATGTTTCAATGAGAGTTTCCAAATATTGCAATATTTGGCCAGTGACCTCCAAAGTTAACGCCTTAAGATTTCCCAATTTATATATAATTTT